TAGCGATTTGCATTATATTCTAAAAAAAGCAATTGTTCTTTGTAGAACGTGCGCATTGTCATAAAAATTTCTTATTTAAAACATTCATTCGATTGCTACGGATAGATAGATGACAAACACAATGAGTTATATTTTCATAGCAGAAATAAATATATAATATTATGCACCAACTATACCGATTATTGAATAATACAACATTTAATTACGCCTTATCGAATATAATATATTATAATAATTATTTAATTAGAGAACATGGATTTCAAATTGCGTCGCGACGGTTATTTTCTTAATAAGTATGACATGATAATTCACAAATATGGAATGATAACATAATACTACATAGCAGATACGTTGCAAATCGATTTTAAGAGGGAGCGTAAAATCATTATAATGTCAGTAAAATCATAATAAGAGACAGTATTTAATTAATAACTCGCAAACTATAACAATTATTTTAACTGTTGTATAAGGCCTACAAAGTGACTCATATATTTAATAATTTTTCAAATAACAAGGGTATACTTACAACAACAAATGGTAAAAAATGTGCAATTTAGGGGTAACATTAATTTCTTTTTCTATATCGTGGAAATTTTATACATTCACGCGACTTCGCGGTAAAAATTTTTAGATACAGGATGTAGTTTTCTCATTTTTATAACAGATACTAGTACATTATTACTTTGTACAAAACTCGTTGAAAATTAGTAGTTTTTAATATAAGTTTATCTTACACTAGGTTTTCACACACAGGGTCGTACATTATCATATTTAACGGTAGTATTCTCAAAATTATTCACTATCAGTCTTTATCCGAATAGATAACTGCCAAAGCAAGTGGCGGAGATATCAATTATTTTTTCGTTGTTTTGGTCCGAAAAGGTTATAATTTTAATTATAATTTTGTTATGTGAATATTTTTATTTAAACAAATTATAATTTTGTTATGTGAATATTTTTATTTAACTACTCATAATTTTATAAATTATGTGATCTAAATCACATGAGAAAAAGATACCAATTTTTGTGACGTCACAAAAAAGTATTATGTTCCTATATTAAAATAACATTATATTCCTATATTAAAAATAAAATTCCAAATCCATTTAGACAATTTGAATGCCTCTTCAATATTTAGATAGTACTTCGCTAGTTTTCGTTTGTTAATATAAATATAAAGGGCGTTATTGTACACATTTTTACAGACTTCGCAAAAAGAAATCACAAAGTCAAACTTTTTTTTTTATATCTACTGTGTTTTAGAACATTTAGTATAAAAAGTTAGCCACAGAATTGAATTGAGTTGAGCTTTACGATCATAGCAAACAAATAAAAAAAAAGCAAATTCTATGACAACTTGATAGAGTACTTACGTAATTTGTTTGTTACGTTATTTACGTAGGTAACTATACTGTCATCCGTTAAGATTTATGTACCAATTACAACGCAGATATCGTGAGAATAATGGTGGGATTTGTTGTAGTAAGTAGGTAGGTGTAGGAAGAAAGTTGATAGCCGACTTGGAGTGCAGGAAGGCGCTACGGGCGGCGGGTCGATGACCTGACAACAGCTAGAACACTGTTACTTTCAAAGGTCGCTAGCATAGGTCGAACTGATTCTGCTACCGTCAGCAGTACATCACATCTAAATTTAAGAGGATTTTATTATGTATTCAAATTAACAATTTCGCATAAAGTATGCATAAAATGTAATAAAATCTTTCTGGCTTTACCATTTGTAACGAAGATAACTCTTCGTTTCAACGTTTCAAATTAGGAACGTTTATTTTTCTTTCTATCAATGAGTCTAATGAAGAAATTCGATACATTTTAAAATTGTATTACAAAAGTTAAAGATAAAGATTCAAGACACGAAAAAAAAAAATTGTGACGTTTATGAACCTCGTGCGGTTTCTGTGAGAGTAGCACAATTTTGTTTAAGCGTTTTCAGTCCGGAAATTTTGATGTCAAAGATGCACGTCGCCCGGGTCGCCCCGTTACGGATAAAATGTATACCATTTTTGAAATAGTGAAGCAAGATCGGCGTATCAGTAGTTACGACGTAGCTGAAGAACTGTGGATTGACCACATAACAGTTTTGGCGCATTTGAAAAAACCTGGGTACACAAAATGTTGGATATTTGGGTACCGCACGAGCGCACTTAAAGAAACCTAATAAACCGTTTACTCATTTGTGATTCTTTATTACGGCGTAATGAAACCGAACCATTTTTGAAGAAGTTGATAACTGGGGATGAAAAGTGTATCTCCTACGACAAGACTGTAGCGAAACCCGGGTTAACTCGGAACATGGTGATGCTGCAAGTATGGTGGGATAAGAAGGGCATTATTCCGCCAGGCAGGACCATCTATTCTGAACTAGAGTTCTGTTTTTCGCGCGGAAAAACAGATGAGATTAAAGCAAAAAAATACTTGAAAAAAAGCGGTCAGAAATAATCAATAGTAGGGGTGTGGTTTTTCATCACGATTACGCTAGACCTCACACATCTTTTGCCACTCAGCAAAAAGCAAGAGTTTGGCTGGGAAGTGTTAATGTATCCGCCGTATAGTCCTGACCATGCAACCTTCAGATTTCCACCTGTTTCGGTCTCTTCAGGATTCTTAAGGCAGTGTCATGTTAACATCACGCGACGAGGACTGCCTAAACCACTTGTCGCGGTTTTTTGATCAGAAGCCCCAAAATTTCTATATTAAATTTCTCTCATGTCCCTACCTACAAGATGGCAAAATGGTACTTACATACTTTAGTTAAATGTAAACAAATTTTATCAAAAACTGTTTTGAATTTTCATATAAAATACCAAAAGGAACTCTTTCCCCTATTTTTGCACTATTAGAGCAAAATTTTCTAGGCAGGTTGGTACTTTAAATTTTACTCAAGGCTTCATTAGTACTAAGAAGAGGCTTTTGGAAATTCTCACGAGAAACGGTATTGCACGCGGACGAGGTCAAGCACTATTAACTATTGCATAAAGTATTAGATACCTGTGTGTATAAAAAATGTGGTATGATATTTACTATCTTTAGCTATAAGAGAGGTTAAATTGAACCACTACCCATATAATCAACACAGGTTTCAATTTGTTGTCATTGTGAAGAATTTTGAACATAATATGACCGGGAAGGTACTAAACCACATCCCGAAATAAATAGGTAGCTGTCTAGCTATTCAACGCCTAGTTAATTTTCAAGTCAAGCCAAGTTAAAAAGTACTGGCATCCAACGAAATATTAAGAGTGTCATCGCCAATTTCGGAAGAAAATCAATTGTCGTCCTTATTTAGATAGAACTTTTATTCACTTAACTTCCTGTCGGAAGGAGATCTCAACTCGATCACTGATCGTGCCTTTCGCGGCGTCCACATCCTTCCACTTTCGCGTTGTATATTAAGCTTTGTCATTCATTCATCAGGCATTTTTTCCACATCTCAGAACCAACGAAGCATGGCTAGATTTTCACGTTTCAATAATTACTATATACCTATAAACGCCTATATCCAGCTATATATCAGAGGCTAGATATCAAAAGTAATTACTATTTCAACACTTAATTTATTAGTTCGATGACAAAACAATTAATAACTACGTAACTTTCGAAACAATAATGTTCATTTTATTTTATAGTCCAAATAGTCTTCAGCTTCTTATCCTATGCTCCCATCACAGCTCATTTAATGCGCTTAATTATTATTTAGTTTAGCTATATTATATACTAGCTGTTTTTCCACGATATCGCCCGCGTATGATGTCGCTTACCGTAGGTGAAGAATTTTTAAATAGGTGTAGTCCTTTTGGAGCCTATTCAATGTAAACAAACAATCTATCAAATCATTATTTTTTATAATATGAAAATCTTCGTGATCAAGTCAAGTTAATATTAGAATAAAAAGTGCATTGCAAGAAGTATCCAGATTTTTTTTATCAATTCGGCAAAGAGAAAGTTCTGCATAGGTCTATAAAATTGCGAGAATAATTTCGCAAATATTTTCGGGAGATTTTCATTTTCAAGTAATCGAATTTTTAACATTTGTCGAAAATTGCCAACAAATTTAAATCGGTTCATGTTTTTTGTATATGTCGAAGATTGCATTACTGTTGACCTTGCTCAAACAGAAACTTTATACTTGGCCGAACAAACATTGCGTTAAAGCAATTAAGCTAGTTAAACGACAACCCTTCTGCAAATTGACCGCATAACTTCCTTGTTGTATTATTTTCAGGTTGATTTTGGCATTTGATGCCTATTTTAAAGCTAGTCGTTCGTACTCTGTTCTAAGGCAGGTGAAAAAAACAACAAATCCAGAAATGGAGCTCAACAAAATAAACGTACAACAAATGCGACCGTTCTGAACCTCGCAATTCCTGAAATATCCAATTCTCAGATAGCCCAAAATACTACGGGTTTGTTAAAAATGTTTTCATAGCTATTTTAACTCAAAGTGGTACCCAAAAACGTCGCCATCCATAGTAAGCTGTGCTGGACAATGTCAAAGAACTACAAACGCATTGGATGGATGGCACAGACGCCGATTAAAGTAACATTATAGTAATATTAATATGCTATATATTATTATCGTATGCTTTGCCATTCACATATTTGTTTCATTGTTTTTTCACCTATCCTAGTAACAAACTATACCCAAATAAAGTTCACAAGTCAAGCCAAATCAACTTCAGGCACACAATTTTATGTGGTAGCTCCAACTTTAATTTAACGTTAACAACTTTAAAATTTAATTACCCTTTATTACCAATACTGAATATCTTATAACTACATTCATTGCTAAGATAACCTAACTTATCAAAATATTCTTAAAAAGAGAATTAAGTGGGTCAAGTTTGTATTTAAAACACCTACTTGCCTGACTAGAGTTGGTTATTTAGATTTACAGGTTGTATCTTCAATGCTAATGCAAAAGACAGCTCAATGCTAAGACAATAAGGGTTAAACGAGGTTACATTTATAATGATTGACACTTACAGCTCCTCCCGTTGCCGTTGTGACAACACCATTTTCATTGTGGTTGGGTAGCACTCGAGGCGGCGGTTCCGTAAAGTTCACTGCACTAGAGTCTTATCAATTCACGCTGGCGACGGCTGAAGTGCCATAGCCATTATCACACCTGTGGACAAATGAGCAAATATTATTTCTATATGATACCATAGTCATGAAATGTTGAAGAATCTTAATGAATAACAAGGAACGCAGCATTGTTTATTATATGAAGCATTCGAGGTCAATGTCAGATCCTCATATAAGATTTTTTTTTTATATCAGCATATTTTATGTGTTTGCAATCTAAGAATGTTATAAAGAAATGATTTGATTTTTTGTTTGTTTATAATAGATTGGTGGTGGTAAAACTAGATTGGTGAAAGAATTTGGAAGAAATTACATTAACTTTTCTTAAATTCTTTCAAGACAGCATTAACTTTGCAGGTTTAGCTAGTTATTTATAGGTCAAATATTTATTAAACCTTTAAACTTACTTAAAAATTGATTTTTATATTTAACCAACCCAAATAAGTTATTTGATAAAGAAAATAAAATAAAGAAATGTAAAAAAATAGAAATTCCATTAGTTGGAAGGACCATATATCAATACTTGGGGTAGAAAGGTTGTAAATACTATTTTGGGGAAAACAACATTAAATTTAGTAAAAGAAACAATTATTTTTGTATTTAATGTTTTTTCTGATATTTCTTCCTGAAATGTATGTGACTTCTATAGAAGACAAGTTCAATGATGTACCTAGATGCTAGTCCAGGACTAAGACAAATCTAAGTTCTCTCCCAATTATTTTTGGACATATGTTTCATTATTATGTTTGATCAATTTTGAATTCACAATGTTATACTGGAAAATATTCTTGAAGAGATTGACTGAAACCAGGGGAAAGTGATTTTTTTAACAAATGAAATGAAATGGGATTTATACCCACAACCTTTAGTAATGCGGGTGACTGCTCTTTTTAAGAATTTTTAAGCATTTCTCATTAATAATATTATGTTACATTTCTAGAAAACTAGTCTTAAATATTTAACTCTATTTAAAAATGAATTTGTGAAAACTAAAGAATTTAAAAAACTCTGAATTTAATTTATTAATGTATCCTCAGTTCATTTTATTTATCAGTAGACTTTGACAGTGTATGTTAATATGATTATAATGAGAGTGTAGATAATCAATGAAAATAAATAAATATATATATTTTTTGGTACTGTTTAATTTACTCTTACCGATAATCACACTATATATATACTTAATATATTTATAATATTTCTTAAATTAATTATGAAAAAAAAAATACTTTATAGTTGTTGTCACATGACAGCAAACAGTGTGTCTTCATGCTCCTCTTTACTGATATCAGACCTTAGAGCATTCAACCTTATGCATACACAGAACAATATTAGTTTCAGAGGGCCATGATTTTGAAAATTAAATTGATTTTAAGATTGTAAGTTATTATATAAACAATACTTTTTAAAATATTCTTTTAGATATATGTCACATATATCTATAAAATAAAAATATGAAAAAAGTTGTCAACACCTCTATTTAGATTTCCAACTAATACATTTAATTAAATATAGAAAAATAATTAATAAATCAAAAACTAGTCTTCCCTAACTGCAGAAATTAAAGATAGTTTCTTTAATGTTAACAATTTTTTGCTTAAAACATATGTTTTATTTACTTAAAAATTTTACTCCAATGCTAAATCTTGTTAATAATAACACTGTTATAGATCAAAAATAAAATCTAGCCATAAAAATCATATAATTCTATCTCTATATATAAATCGGGTAATATATCAAATCTTGATATCAATTTTAGAACAAAATTATTTCTAGCCAATTTTGCATCATTAACATGTTCCTTGTTTACATGCCTACGTCTAATGTTTAAACTTAAATTAATGAACTTATTTAAGAATAGCTGACATTTTAAAACAGGTTTCTTTTAATTTGAAGACAAGAACCAAAAGCTAAAAGAGTTTATGGCTTCAATTCAAGGGCATTTTTATTTTGGTGAACTTGTGCAAAAGAAGCCATACACTTTGTGCCCGGGTTCAATCCAAGATAATATATTTATTATAAACTTTTGACCCAAACTTAAAATCATTGGAATAAAACTTTTGAAGTATAAACTTTAGGTGTTCAGAGAACAATATTAATTAAATGGTCAAGTGTAAAGCCATTCATTCAGTCTAAGCAAGCACTTATCAGAAGCAGAAACAAGCACTTACCAACGTCGAAAACTATGTTAATAGTACGCAAAGCTACAATTAGAACCGTGTACTGAAAAGAATAAACAAGAACTGGCTTCTTTTATCTCTTTATTTAATTTTATACAATTTTCTCGTCTTGAAATATGACTTCATTAAACTATCATTTGCAATTCCATTACAATTAAAAGAATAAATGATAATACAATTGTTGCGTTGTTACGATCAACATATTAAAATAGTGGTAAAATCGGTACTTAGGTTGTGATAAGCACCCAGTAGCATTTGTTTTATTTTTTTTAGACTGCATGCATACAAAATGTTTAACATGATAAGTGTTTAAATTGTCGTGCCTGGTTATTTATATTTATAATAAACTGGAATGTTGGAATTACCTAACTAAAAAGGAGTAGCGCAAAAAAATCTATAGTAGAAAAATGACTCAGAAATAAATGTCAAAATCTACAGCATCACTGTCAGGCTGCCACATCAACGGGCAGTATCAGCTGAGGATTTTTTATAGATAAAGCACACAAGGAATAATTCTGAATCACCAAACAAAAATTAAAACAGATAGCTTTAGAGAAATCATAGAAATATTTTAAAAGAACGGCCATATTGAACGTCTGAAAAGAACGAAGATAAAACAAAAAACTCGTTAATTAAATACAGCTGATGCAGATAGAAGATTGTTAATGATACTTACAAAACACAAATAAACACTTTAATTCGCACTCGTATTTTGAATAAATATCACACACAATACAAACACAATCCACACAAGACTCGAGACAGAAAACCGTTTTCGTTGCAATGGATGGCCCAGTCAAACTCAAAGAAGTTTCGATTTTTTGCTCCCTTTCCATCCACATTCTAACGCCATCTATACCAAAAAGTGTGCAACCAAGTATTTGTCAATTGCAACACTACAAGTCTAAAAGAGAGAGACTACTTAACGATGACGTAGGTATAAGGGAGAAAGCATAGGTTTATGTTGCCATATCAATGACTATAAACCGACTATATCCGATAGCAACACAGTACTTGAAATTATTACCGGTAATAAGATACTTTATAATGTCGAATGTGAAATAATTAAAAATTATAATTCCTAGTAACTAAAAAAGTAGTTTTATTTAAAAGCAATATTTTCATTATCATATGAAAATATGTTTTAACGGAAGGGACGGCAAATTTTGCTCGTCTCTATAAAAAAATAAGAAGTCCCTTTTGACATTTGGAAAAGAAGATGGAACATAACGTTGTACGAAATACAGTGATTTGATAAAATGATAGCACATTTTTAAAATTAAATCATTGCTTAATATAGCACAATAGCCATTAAGTGTTATTTTTACGTAAATTATATAAAAAAAAACTTTTTATTCACTACGTAACTTTTTTTACGTCCTTGATCCATTTTTTTAAATAGCGTCGAAGGCTTGTTTTTTCATACTTAAAAAATGTTTGCGTATCAATATTAGGTACTATTTTACTTGTTAACCTCTCAACACAATCATATTGATGTTATCCATCATCCGTTATTGAATATTGCAACAGCGTTGTGTTCGACGATACACAGCGTGCTACTGCGTTAATGAGGAAATATTTTAAAAAATAACGTCGAATGTAGCGTTATCGCGGAATTTGAAGTTCATTAAATAAAATACTTAACATCTCTTTAAGTCGGTTTTATTGAATTCAACTTAATGCAATGACAGAGATGAGTTTAACGCTGTATTGCTAATAAAATAGCACTGACAATAATTATCTAAAAATATTTAGCAACGTTGTTAAGTTGTTGCTGGCAACTTCAGAAAAATAATCATATCATTGTTACTTTCTTGTTGTTATCAAGTATTAAGTTAATTACTCGTGATAATATGAAAAAATCTGAATAGAATTCTATGTATTCATATGTGCAATAAGAACATTAATGTTATTGTGCTGACTGAGTTAAAAAATAATAATAATAGAAAATAGAATTTTAACAAATCTAGAATAAGCTTGGCTTTGTATTTAAGCCTATTTCCAAATGGAAACGTAATATCTGTTATATAAAATCTTGTATTGCATTATTTGATTTTATTTTGAAAAAAATGATATCTCACATCATCAATAATCAAAAATTTGTTATCAATATTGTTCAATACTGTCCCAATTGTCGGTCCGATCGCATGTGTCAAAATGGACCTCTTATTTTGTAAGCACTAGAATAAGGATCAGCTACTTATAGAAAAAAGATAATATACTTGTATGTTCGATAAAGATAGATAGCGATACCGTCAATTTCATGCAATATTTACAAGGAACCAATAGTCAAATTTTAAAATCTATTGCAATCCCTTTCACATTTGAAAGATATTCATGAACGTTACACCTATTTGACATCTGATATAAGATATTGAATGAATAATATCGTTTAATTTAACTTATATTGGATTTGTCTTAGGCAACCATTAGACGCAAATATCTTTTAAAGTTATAATGAGAAATGTCAAATTAACTAGACGGAATAAAAACATAAAATAGTTTGCTTCACATGAATGATTGAGAGAATCTTAAATATAATGGAAAATAAATCTTAGGTACTATGATAGACATAAACCGACGATCCGAATTCAAGATAATATGGAGCTCCAACCAACGATGACGACAACGACGAACGAACGCCCAACTTTGTGGACGGCTGTTTGACCAACTCAAACATGACCTTCAACGCTCTTGGTGGAAGCGTACTGAATCGGAGTGTTGCCACATAAGAATTACGCAAAATTACAGAATTTTGGGTATCTTGAAGGAATAAAAATTTATTATATATGTGTTCGTTTTAATATGCTTCCCATTTTTTAATATTAATTTAAAATTACAATACTTATAATGAAGAAAAATTTCGAAGTTAAGCATTCTAAGTGCTACCTTTTCTTTAACTTCCTTTTATATGTAGCCACGTCAAAATTTCATTAAAAATAAAGCAAATTGAACAACTTCACATCTCCATAGATTGTAAAGTTAATAAAGACATGTAAAATAGTTTTTGTTTTTTAATCCGTCCAGTATGTCACCACCGGGGTCGGGATGCTTGGTTTGCGACTAATGTGGTTACACACGTCTCGACTTCCCGACCATGGTCAGGCACAGAACTATTAAGGTCAACTGGCTCCGACCACCAACCGTATGGATGGCACTTAAGGCTAGCTAAACTATGATGATGAGTAGAGATGCAAGTTTCATAAAAATATCGATAAATCGCGTTCGATATATTGTCACCGTATAAAGTCATCAAAAGTCACCATTCTCCGGTGCGCTCATATGGTATCTCACTCTCGACCTGAGAAACGTGGCGTTTGGTGTAGTCAAAGTATTCTTCCATCTTGTTTTTCTAAGTGCGTTGCTTTTCTAGAAAGATGTTCAGAAGACATATTTCTGATCACATTAGGAATAGGAATTTAAAAAGATTGCAAGTAGATTGAAAATAACACTTTATTTTGAAATTACAGAAATTAAAATTTATTAATACATATTCAATAAAAAAATCAGGTATACAAAATAATGTCACGCGTGTTACTAATGTAATATCATATGTTTAAATGCCGTTGGTTGTTGAAATTTGGACAACTGATACACATTTATTCTCAGTATTTTATTCGATATTAGGTTGTTTTTTGTGTTGGTGCTTATTCGATATCGATATCGCTGTTTATTCGATATCGATATTTTTAGTCATCGATATATAGCGGTTTTTCGATATATCGTTGCATCCCTAGTGACGAGGGTGCAGAAAATGAAGTGAAGTACCTAACGATAGCGAACGATAGCGAACGATATGGTGTTCAATTATCATTGCGTTTTGTGTCAACTTTGTGATTACAAGTATATAGTTAAGGCCACAAAAAGATTAGAAAAAATAGTTATACACAAACAAAATAAACGATTATAAGAAAATATATAAATGATTTGAAATTTTTGGTAACTCACAAATTCATCCAAATCAGAAAATTATTTACAAGTTTCATTTGACATTAAAAAGAACTCATTGAACAGATGAACAGCGAACGAAGTGTAGCTTTGGTACCTACAAATTCAACAAAACAAATGTCCGATTCTTGCGCCCATTTCGTAAGTTCCTCAAACTATAAATTGACTAAAGTCTACAAAATATTATAATATAATTTATCTGGGCCGATTTACACTTGAAACATTGTTAAATTTAATAATATGCATTATTGTAATTGGTTTTCAAGCTGTTTCAAGAATTCCCAATACGTAGACGAAAGGAATCAAGTTTCATAAATAATGGTGTTTGGGTTTAGATTATGTTCAACAGAATATTTCAAATAAAACACAAACTGTAGTGCCTGGTGTCGTTCAAATTTTAGTGAGGTTAGTGAAATAGTGTTCACCTTTCACCAAAGCAAATCCAAGTGATATTAGTTTTGACCATCAATGTGCTACTCGTTACTTTATATACGGGGCACGGATGTTGACTCAAAAGAACGGTTTGTGCAATGGTGATAGCAAAGAGCAAGAAAGTTAAACCAAAAATGAATAACACTATAAAGAACGCGGACTACAACTGGACTGCTGGACCAGACCCACCTAGTAACCAAGAGGCAGGTGTTCCTAGGGCAGTGTTTATACCACATTCGAAGTCGTTGCCATTTGAAGAGCGTCGTGTTACATTAGAACAGCCTGTCAAAGTAAGTAAAACTTGTGTAATAATAAACTTGCATGAAAATAACATTATAGGTTATTGTCATATCATATATACATAAACAAGAGGTAAAAATTATTTATCTACTTTTGAAACTAACTCCAAATTTAGTTTTCTGTTTACTCTTGGATATTTTCACCCGTGATTATGATCTTAGATATTAGTTTTTAAGATATAAGTACCACCAGTATATTTAAAAAAATATCTGGGGGATGTGACATTTGTCATAGAACATTAAGTATACTGGTATCTCTATTATAAACAGTAGAAGTAACTATAGAATTATCACTTTTATTAATGATTGGCTCTTTGTAAATATCAATACATTGCCTGCTGTATGATTGGTTCTTAAAAAGTCATGTCATTCGTTAAGATATAATAAATTCATTAGTTATTTACATAAGTGGAGGGACATCTCGAAGATAAAATTAATGCTTCTTATTGAACCCTTCATATTTAACTAGTGATGCCACTAAATTATGATTTGAAGTTTTGGTGGGTATATGTTTGCAGTAACTATATTATATGATAATATTTATTTCTTTAAAATGTTAAGTACTTGGTGATTCAACTTAGTATTTGGAGTTGTTAAGATTCCTAATCTGACTTATATCTCTACTCAAATGTAGATTACAGTTTATCTGGATAATTTTGAGAGGCTAATATTTATCATTTTTGAAGTTACTTGTACCATATCAGCTATAATATCTTAAGTGCAGATAGTTGAAATTCAACTTTTAATCTAACTGGCTTCTATTATTGCTGAAAATATTTTGATCCTTGTATGAAAACACCATCCAATGAAAAGTTAGAGTCTATGGTGTCCAATAAATAGAATTAATGATCTTTCATTTATTAATTCTATAATTTTTTTTTTATTATTATTTAAGTACAAATTATTATGAAAATTGACTCTCAAACTGAGCAGAAATCATTTTAGTACACACAGCATGTCAGGTTACAACATCATGTAAAAATATTGCAATAGATTTTCAACTCTACCCTCAATGTATGAAGGTTTAAAATCAAGTGAACTATTTTGATGGATTTGTACAACCTTATATGCTGTTGAATGTACCATCATTTTCAGAGCTTTTTCTAGTTCTATAATTTTAATAAATGCCTTAAGCCTTCTGAACATTCAGCAAACAAAGCTAAATGTATATATTATATATAATAAAATATCTGTTTAAAGTAAAAAAATATATAGTTATAACTAAATAATTTTTGGCTTCATGTAAACTATTAAACACAGAATACTAATACCTCAGATTAATAGTTATTAATAGTTACACACTTGGTTGAGTTTAAATATATATAATTACCAAATTAATGATGCATAATGTATAAGATGGTATTGTAGGCATTTAATTATATCAATAAATAAATTAACATTTTTTTTAAATACTTCCTCATTGATTAACTCGTGTGATTGTATAACATATAACTTACACGTGTTTCTCGAGAGAGTAAGCAGAGACAATGGACATCCACCTGTTATGGACTTGTTACACAGATTGTATTCAAGTTGTTAGAGTAATAATGTGAAAAACTATGATACTCTTCTTTTCATCCATCCTCCTGCAGTGTGTTATATAGACAGCCTCCTCCACCGAGTGGTTTACCAACATATTCCGTATCTGATTCCTAGTCAGGTCAATTTAGAAAATGACATTTTATTTTCAATATACTTTATTGTCTTCAGTCTGGGTGTTGTGGTACTTTCGTTGTCACAGATACTCCATAAGGGCTGTAGCAATATTAATTATACTGCCAACATTCCTTATTTACACCACTTTACAACTTAGTATGGCTTGGCCCTTGACTGACATGTTCTGTGTGAAAACAATGAAACAGAAGTTCTATTTAACACATATATCAGCTAAACAACTCAATCTTGTAGTTAATGAGATTTATTTTATTTATTTAGGTGATTAATGTAATAAATAATGTAGGTACTGCATGTTTACGTACAATCGAGATCTGGGGTACCTACACACTAGCAATATACATATTGCTTGAAAACAGTTTTTATGAACATTGTGATGCAGTTACCGTCGAACCGCTTCGGACGCTCACAGCACAGCGGCTCATCTATACGGATTGTCCGGACGGTTGCTTGGTCATTATTTATTATGCTAGTTCTTAACATTCCTTTTTTCTTACAATAACGCTTGCGGTTATAATAAATATTAAACTCGACTTTTTTGGCCATTGTGTAATAAGTGTATCGAACTAAAAACCGCAACGTTTTCCGGTTGTGGTTACGGCCAGCCGTCATTTGTTTGGCCGCAATTGATACAAAGCTCTGCAGCCAGACAGCTAGCCGTTATGTGGCAGATCGCATAGTATGTAGGGACCCCTTACATGCCTTCGTTATGCCACAACAGCTGGTAACGTAACGTCATAATCATAACTCGTATGTTGCGATATTTGAGTGTCGATATGCAAATCTACTTAGCCGTGGTGCAGTTACGAATTGTTGAGACTTGAAACGACGACACACGTCGATCATCCAGTAATAAAACGCTATTCATTATCCGTTGACTAATCAGAATTTCATTGTTAAATCGCATAAACCTTTCAATTGTCATCACCGCTAAAGTGGGGAATTCACTGTCTATACATAATTTGCGACGGCTAGACATGCCCATCTATTGAATTTCCCGCTTAATTGATATCCCATTCATTCGGTTTTAGTCATAATCTTCGTTCTTGAAAGACATGTTCTGATTTTTTTTCCAAAGTGTAAACAGATTTGTTTCCTGGAGTTTATCGTGATAGGTAGCTCTTCAGTAGGAGGATGAGATCCTTCACCATCTATTGTCAAGATTTTGTATGTTATGGCGTTTAGTGTAGCTGATCTCCGTTAACTCGGTAGCTAAGTCGTTCGGATGAGTCACCAGTCGCGTTACATATTTATTCCCTATCAGCTTCAACTCCTCTTTGACAGTACTTATGTTCAGAGCTTTATAATAATCATAAATCTTTATTTCAAACCGATGAATCCATATTAAATTATTAATTCCAGACACATGTGATTCCAAATAATAATATTACATAGTATACATGGATTTATATTACATAGCTTGAGCACGCGTAGGATGATGAACTCGAGAACGTTTTGTCTACACTCAAATGTTACTCTTCTCGGGTGCACCCATACTATACCTCACTCTGGACCCGAGAAACTGACAAATGAGTGTAGACAAAGCGTTACTCGAGTTTGTCATGCTACGCGTGCTGGTGGCAATATCCAACCATCGTCTATATGTTTTAGTTTGCATGTCTTTCGGCTAGACCCTTTCCTATATCATTATCAGACCTGTCAACCCTGAACATGAAGGATGCTATTCACTAAACGAATCGATACGACTTTATGTGAACATTTCAGAAGCATTGCAATAACGTTTCAGTCTCATTAGATGTCGAAAGATGTTATTATTATTATTACTCGTAGGTCATCATGTAATTTTTTCATGTGTTTCAGTCCAGATTTTTTTTTACAAAAGGGGCTAAATAACGTTAATTTGACATCACTAAAAGCTTTACAATTCTTTCGGGCAGTCATATTACCCATAATACAAAAAGCCCTACGTTCCCCTCAATATCGGCATCATCTATTAAGTAATCAACTAAAACGTGGCCAAGATACTTGACTATTTTGATGGGTTTACCATTAAGACAAACTGTTGGTACGTTCAAAGGACCATTTCCGGATCTGAAAATAATCATTTCGGTTTTTTATTGTTATATGCAAGATAATGTTCATTTGCATAGTTTTCACATAATTTTTCGAGTTTTCATATACCTTTAATCGAGGGGCCGAGCAGCACCATATTATCAGCATAGCTTAGGTTGTTGATATATGAATCTTAGAGTTGGTGATGAACCATGGTATACTGCTTTTAAAATTGTTTTTCTTCTAATGTATCCAGTTTTTGTTATTGAACAAAAACTCGATCTTTATTGAAAGATTATTATTATTATCACTATTATAAGCAGCTTGCTGTCGATAGACAGCTTGGAATCACGTGCTATCATCAGCCAGCAGATGTTTCTGAATCGCATAGTCAGTTCATCTCGTTTGGTTTTGATGTGTTTCTTCCAGGTTAACCTTTTGTCCAAATGCATGCCAAGATATTGAACAGACTCACTCTGTAGCAGGACGCTGTCACCCAGTTTTACTGGAGGACAACTTCCCCTTCTCAGTGTAAACGTAACGTGTAGAAATATAGATGTGCTGACTTTGATTTTCGAATTTAAAAATAAAGAACGTTGTTGTGTTCCAGTGCAGTACTGTTCCATAATATTACTACGCAGCTTGTGTATTTATCTGGAAGTCACTTAGTATGCAGCCCTGGTCTGTGTAGAGTGCGCGCGCGCGTTGAATTGTGAGTCAGCTTGACCTAAGGTGCTCTAGACGGACAATTGTAAATTAGCAATTAAATAGAATGAGATTAAATAATGCTATTTCTAGCACCCATATGCTCTGTACTAGAAACGGAAACCAATTATCAGTTTTATGTTATATATGAACAGGAAATGTATAATGAAACGTAATGGAAACAACTCGATTGATCCGAACACAATGTCTGGTAATTATATTATATATTACATTAGATAGCATTAAGATATTTAATTTCAATGCTAGACAGCTTTGCGGAGCCCTAAAAAATAAATGAAATAGCATCATCGTTAATAAGATCTTCTGAAAAGTTACTATTTTTACTTAAGTGGTGTTGGAAATCTGTCAAAGCAATATGAGAGGACCTCCGCGGTTGAGTGGCTTACTTGCCATGTTCATGATGTTGTTAAAGTTTTTTGTTCGATTCCCAACCGGATCGAAAAATATTACATTTTCAGACGTTTCGGCTCCTTAACAGGTTCCGTGCTCATTCATTACTTGTATAGGAAGGGGGAATTTGGGAGGAATTTTCAGATTTTACATAGTCATTAAGTTTCTTGCGGCTTATAGATGCAATC